CAGACACACACACACATGTGCTCTGGACTGAGCTGCTGCTGAAACTGACAAAAACAGAAACAGAAACATTAGAGCCCGAGTCACTGAACGTCACACACACTTTTACTCACACAAATCATCTTCAAAACTCATTTTACTCAGTTACATTTGAATATTTACATTTGTAGTTCAAAACCTTTGTAGGAAAAACACGTGAGTGAAGAGAAAAACAGATGAACAGATGAAGAGATGAAGAGACAAACCACAGCTGAACCACAGCGTGTTTGTTCTCTTCTATGGTAAATGGTAAATGGTCACATTTTTCTATCGCTCTTTTCCACCTTCAAGGCTCAAAGCTTTTACAACAAGGAACCACTCACCCATTCACACACACATTCACACACCAGTGTACGCACACACTGTGGGCAAGGTGGGTTAAGTGTCTTGCCCAAGGACAAAATGGCAGCATTCATCTCATATGTCGAGAGCTGGATTCAAACCGCCAACCTTCAGATCAGTGGGCGAATGCTCCACCAACTGAGCTACTATATATATATATATATATATATATATATATATATATATATATATATATATATATATATATATATATATATATATATATATATATATATATATATATATATGGCCAAAAAAAAAAAAAAGGATCCCCCTCGAAAACGAGGTGACTCACCTCAAGGGGCTTTTCCTTAATAAAATAAACGTAAAATAAACATGTTCTTCTGTGTGACATGTTCTCTTGTGTGACATGTTCTTCTGTGTGACATGTTCTTCTGTGTGACATGTTCTTCTGTGTGACATGTGTGACATGTTCTCTTGTGTGACATGTTCTCTTGTGTGACATGTTCTTTGTGTGACATGTTCTTCTGTGTGACATGTTCTTTGTGTGACATGTTCTTCTTGTGTGACATGTTCTGTGTGTGACATGTTTCTGTGTGACATGTTCTTTGTGTGACATGTGTGACATGTTCTCTGTGTGACATGTTCTCTTGTGTGACATGTTCTCTTGTGTGACATGTTCTCTGTGTGACATGTTCTTCTGTGTGACATGTTCTCTTGTGTGACATGTTCTCTTGTGTGACATGTTCTCTTGTGTGACATGTTCTCTTGTGTGACATGTTCTCTTGTGTGACATGGTCCATGTTGTTCTCTCTGGTTTTAGATTTTGCTGCATAAACTCTGAACTGAAGCAGAACACAGGGAGATGTACGTGGAGCAGGTATCTGTACTTTACTCGAGTACATTTTACAGTGGGTACTTTTTACTTTTGCGTCAGTACTTTCTGAGAGCAGGAGTTTGTACTTTTGTACTTTCTACTTCACCACATTTTAATTTGGAGCTGCACAAAAGGCTGAGGTGTTTTTTTCAGTTTTTTTTTGTTTTTTATCGAGGTCGAAGCTTCAGAAAAACACAAACACAAAGAAAAAGATCAAATAATAATTCAGTTGAACAAAATCAGCACAACTGAAGCTTCATTAGAGCTCGAACTCCAACTCAAATACTTCTACTTTTTACTCTTTAATACTTTTACTTAAGTAAATTTTTTTCATGTGATACTTTTACTTTTACTCGAGTATTTATTTGTTTCAGTATGTGTGCTTTTATACTTTGACTGAAGTAACAAAAGCGAGTACTTTTCCTTTGTTCCCCCTCAGAGCTCTGCACTTCTTCTTTATTCGAGTCTTTTTTCTACTTGAGGAGTTTAAAGTCACACTGTGGAACATTCAGGCAGAGCAGCGTCATCTCCATTTAAACGTCTGTGTATCATTTTCCATTCATGACTGCCCCCTGCAGGAGGCCGGCAGTATCACGACACACATCACTTCAGTATTTTAGGATTGAATTTTCTTTTTTTCTTCATTTCTTTTTATTTTATTTTCCTTTTGTATTTATTATTTATTGTTTTGTTTCTTTGTTTTTCTTTAACCAAAAACTGAATCTCAGCTCATTAAAAGAATCGTCAGTGCAGCAGCAGCAGCGACGACTCGGGGGGTTTGGGTTTTTCTCACATCAGCAGAGAAAATAAAAGTGTAACTCGTGCAGATGTTCAGACGTTCACACTGAAGTTTGTGCGTCTGGAGACGATCGTTTAAAACTGTGGAAAAAATAAATAAACTGAAACAGACTGAAACATGTGAACTTCAGACAAACACCACATCGTCTCAATTGGACGTCGTTTGTTGAGCTAAAACTTGTGTGAATATAAAAGATTCTTTTACACAAACCGGGCGGCGGCGCTTTGAGAAGGAAACGAGCAGAAGCTTCGTCGAGTTTCTCCTGGATCAGGTTTGATTTAAAAAAGAGAAAATGACTCAGACTTGGGCAAATTTCTTTTAATAAAAAAAAAGGATTGTCCAGAAACACAGAGACAGAGGATAAACACACACACACACTCGCCCACACTCGCCCACACTCTTCCACGCACTCGCCCACACACTCGCCCACACACTCGCCACACACTCGCCCACACACTCGCCCACACACTCGCCCACACACTCGCCCACACACTCGCCCACACACTCGCCACACACTCCCACACACTCCCCCACACACTCCCCCACACTCGCCCACACTCTTCCACACTCTTCCACACACACTCGCCCACACACTCGCCCACACACTCGCCACACACTCGCCCACACACTCGCCCACACACTCGCCCACACACTCGCCCACACACTCGCCCACACACACACACTCTCGTCCGCAGAACCTCACAGTCGCTGGTTCAAATTTCAGAAACATGACATCATCAGGATTAAACGGACTGAAAAAATTCAGCACAAAAACAGCACAAAAATATAAGAATTCATAGAAAAGTTTGGACCTGGGTTAGTCCTGGTTTGGTCCTAATTTGGTCCTGATTTAGTTCTGGTCTGGTTCTAGTTTAGTTCTAGTTTGGTCCTGGTTTAGTTCTAGTTTGGTCCTGGTTTGGTCCTGGTTTAGTTCTAGTTTGGTCTCAGATAAATTCATTAAGAAAATATTTTTTTTTTTAAATCTTAAAAGACCCAAGTCCACAGCTGAGTCCAGACCAAGTCCAGACCGGTTTCAGACCGAGTCCGGTCCTGGTTTAGGCCCCGTTCTCGTTGAGCTTCTCGGCCTCGGGGGCAGGGGCTTCGTTGGTCGGGTTTTCCTGGTTCTGGGCGGGTTTCCAGGGAAGTCCGTGAGTCCGATAGAAAAAGAACAGGTCCAGTCCGAAGAACAGAGACGCCAGGAACCCGAAGACCTGGAACAGAGACCTGCTTTAGTCCGGCTTTAATCCAATTTTAGTCCGGCTTTAGTCGGTCTCGGTCTGGTCTCGGTCTGGTCCCAGTCTGGTCTCGGTCTGGTCCCAGGTCTGGTCCCGGTCTGGTCCCGGTCTGGTCTTACCGCGGCGCTCTTCTCGAGGTTGGTGCCGCTGTTCTTGGCGCTGAAGCTGATGGAGGCGATGAAGAAAAGGACGAAGATACACGACGTGTACAGGAAGTCCTGAAACAACAAGACAGTCAGAGGCCCTCCCATGTGTGTCAGGGGCCCTCCCATGTGTGTCAGGGGCCCTTCCATGTGTGTCAGGGGCCCTCCCATGTGTGTCAGGGGCCCTCCATGTGTGTCAGGGGCCCTCCCATGTGTGTCAGGGGCCCTCCCATGTGTGTCAGGGGCCCTCCCATGTGTGTCAGGGGCCCTCCCATGTGTGTCAGGGGCCCTCCCATGTGTGTCAGGGGCCCTCCCATGTGTGTCAGGGGCCCTCCCATGTGTGTCAGGGGCCCTCCCATGTGTGTCAGAGGCCCTCCCATGTGTGTCAGGGCCCTCCCATGTGTGTCAGGGGCCCTCCCATGTGTGTCAGGGGCCCTCCCATGTGTGTCAGGGGCCCTCCCATGTGTGTCAGGGGCCCTCCATGTGTGTCAGGCCTTCCCATGTGTGTCAGGGGCCCTCCCATGTGTGTCAGAGGCCCTCCATGTGTGTCAGCCAGTGTGTTCCCATGTGTGTCAGGGGCCCTCCCATGTGTGTGTCAGGGGCCCTCCCATGTGTGTCAGGGGCCCTCCCATGTGTCAGGGGTCAGGGGCCCTCCCATGTGTGTCAGGGGCCCTCCCATGTGTGTCAGGGGCCTCCCATGTGTGTCAGGGGCCCTCCATGTGTGTCAGGGGCCCTCCCATGTGTGTGCCTGTGTGTGTCAGGGGCCCTCCCATGTGTGTCAGGGCCCTCCCATGTGTGTGTCAGGGCCCTCCCATGTGTGTCAGGGGCCCTCCCATGTGTGTCAGGGGCCCTCCCATGTGTGTCAGGGGCCCTCCCATGTGTGTGTCAGGGGCCCTCCCATGTGTGTCATGGGCCCTCCCATGTGTGTGTGTCATGTGTGTCAGGGGCCCTCCCATGTGTGTCAGGGGCCCTCCCCGTGTGTGTGTGTCAGGGGCCCTCCCATGTGTGTCAGGGGCCCTCCCATGTGTGTCAGGGGCCCTCCCCGTGTGTGTGTCAGGGGCCCTCCCCGTGTGTGTGTCAGGGGCCCTCCCCGTGTGTGTGTCAGGGGCCCTCCCATGTGTGTCAGGGGCCCTCCCCGTGTGTGTGTCAGGGGCCCTCCCATGTGTGTCAGGGGCCCTCCCATGTGTGTCAGGGGCCCTCCCATGTGTGTCAGGGGCCCTCCCATGTGTGTCAGGGGCCCTCCCATGTGTGTCACGGGCCCTCCCATGTGTGTCAGGGGCCCTCCCCGTGTGTGTGTCGGAGGCCCTCCCCGTGTGTGTGTCGGGGGCCCTCCCCGTGTGTGTGTCGGGGGCCCTCCCCGTGTGTGTGTCAGGGGCCCTCCCATGTGTGTCAGGGGCCCTCCCATGTGTGTCAGGGGCCCTCTCATGTGTTTCAGGGGCCCTCCCATGTGTGTCAGGGGCCCTCCCATGTGTGTCAGAGGCCCTCCCCGTGTGTGTGTCAGGGGCCCTCTGTGTGTCAGGGGCCCTCTGTGTGTCAGGGGTCCTCCCGTGTGTGTCAGAGGCCCTCCCCATGTGTGTCAGGGGCCCTCCCCATGTGTGTCAGGGGCCCTCCCATGTGTGTCAGGGGCCCTCCCCATGTGTGTGTCAGAGGCCCTCCCATGTGTGTCAGGGGCCCTCCACGTGTGTGTGTCAGGGGCCCTCCCCTGTGTGTGTCAGGGGCCCTACCCTGTGTGTGTGTCAGAGGCCCTCCCCGTGTGTGTCAGAGGCCCTCCCCGTGTGTGTCAGGTGCTCTCTCGTATGTGTGTCGGGTGCAGGTGTGTGTCGGGTGCAGGTGTGTGTCGGGTGCAGGTGTGTGTCGGGTGCTGGTGTGTGTCGGGTGCTGGTGTGTGTCGGGTGCAGGTGTGTGTCGGGTGCAGGTGTGTGTCGGGGGCCCTCCCATGTGTGTCAGGGGCCCTCCCATGTGTGTCAGGGGCCCTCCCATGTGTGTCAGGGGCCCTCCCATGTGTGTCAGGGCCCTCCCATGTGTGTCAGGGGCCCTCCCATGTGTGTCAGGGGCCCTCCCATGTGTGTCAGGGGCCCCTCCCATGTGTGTGTCAGAGGCCCTCCCATGTGTGTCAGGGGCCCTCCACGTGTGTGTGTCAGGGGCCCTACCCTGTGTGTGTGTCAGGGGCCCTACCCTGTGTGTGTTTCAGGGGCCCTCCCCGTGTGTGTCAGAGGCCCTCCCCGTGTGTGTCAGGTGCTCTCTCGTATGTGTGTCGGGTGCAGGTGTGTGTCGGGTGCAGGTGTGTGTCGGGTGCAGGTGTGTGTCGGGTGCTGGTGTGTGTCGGGTGCTGGTGTGTGTCGGGTGCAGGTGTGTGTGTCGGGTGCAGTGTGTGTGGGTGCAGGTGTGTGTCGGGGGCCCTGCCATGTGTGTCAGGGGCCCTGCCATGTGTGTCAGGGGCCCTCCCATGTGTGTCAGGGGCCCTCCCATGTGTGTCAGGGGCCCTCCCATGTGTGTCAGAGGCCCTCCCCGTGTGTGTGTCAGGGGCCCTCTGTGTGTCAGGGGCCCTCTGTGTGTCTGTGTGTCAGGGGTCCTCCCGTGTGTGTCAGAGGCCCTCCCCATGTGTGTCAGGGGCCCTCCCCATGTGTGTGTGTGTGTCAGGGGCCCTCCCCATGTGTGTGTCAGGGGCCCTCCCATGTGTGTCAGGGGCCCTCCCCATGTGTGTGTCAGAGGCCCTCCCATGTGTGTCAGGGGCCCTCCACGTGTGTGTGTGTCAGGGGCCCTCCCCATGTGTGTGTCAGGGGCCCTCCCCGTGTGTGTGTTCAGGGGCCCTACCCTGTGTGTGTGTCAGGGGCCCTCCCCTGTGTGTGTTTCAGGGGCCCTCCCCTGTGTGTGTGTCAGAGGCCCTCCCCGTGTGTGTGTCAGGTGCTCTCTCGTATGTGTGTCGGGTGCAGGTGTGTGTGTCGGGTGCAGGTGTGTGTCGGGTGCGGTGTGCAGGTGTGTGTGGGTGCAGGTGTGTGTCGGGTGCTGGTGTGTTGTCGGGTGTGTGTCGGGTGCAGGTGGTGTGTGTCGGGTGCAGGTGTGTGTCGGTGTGTGTCGTGTGTGTCGGGTGTGTGTCGGTGCAGGTGTGTGTCAGGGTGTGTGTCGGGTGCAGGTGTGTGTCGGGTGCAGTACCAGGGCGCTCCAGCGGGCGACGCCCACTCGTCGGTGGAGGGCGGTGGCCAGGAGGACGAGGAGCAGAGTCGTGAAGAGAAACGCAGAACAACTGACGAACTCGAAGAAATACAAAGGTCCACAAGACGCACAAGAAGAAACGAGCTCCTCCTGCACGAAGGCCACGAACGACAGCACCTGAGGACCAGAACCAAGACCAGGACTCAACCAGGACTCAACCAGGACCAGAACCAAGACCAGGACTCAACCAGGACCAGGACTCAACCAGGACCAGAACCAAGACCAGGAACTCAACCAGGCAGACCAGACCAAGACAGGACAGACCAGGACAGAACAAGACCAGGACTCAACCAGGACTCAACCAGGACCAAACCAAGACCAGGACCAACCAGACCAAGACCAGGACCAGGACAAGACCAGGACTCAACCAGGACAACCAGGACCAGAACCAAGACCAGGACCAGGACTCAACCAGACCAGACTCAACCAGGACCAAGACCAGACCAAACAGGACAGAACAAGACCAGGACTCAACCAGACCAGACCAGAACCAGGACTCAGACCAGGACCAGAACCAGGACCAGAACCGAAGACCAGGACTCAACCAGGACCAGAACCAAGACCAGGACTCAACCAGGACCAAGACCAGGACCAGAACCAAGACCAGACTCAACCAGGACTCAACCAGGACCAGAACCAAGACCAGGACTCAACCAACCAGACCAGAACCAAAGACCAGGACCAGACCAAGACCAGGACTCAAGACCAGACCAGGACCAGAACCAAGACCAGGACTCAACCAGGACTCAACCAGGACCAGAACCAAGACCAGGACTCAACCAGGACCAAGACCAGGACCAGGACTCAACCAGGACCAGAACCAAGACCAGGACTCAACCAGGACCAGAACCAAGACCAGGACTCAACCAGGACTCAACCAGGACCAGAACCAAGACCAGGACTCAACAGGACCAGGACCAGAACCAAGACCAGGACTCAACCAGGACCAGAACCAAGACCAGGACTCAACCAGACCAAGACCAAGACCAAGACCAGGACTCAACCAGGACCAAGACCAAGACCAGGACTCAACCAGGACTCAACCAGGACCAGGACCAGAACCAAGACCAGGACTCAACCAGGACCAAGACCAGGACCAGAACCAAGACCAGGACTCAACCAGGACTCAACCAGGACCAGGACCAGAACCACACAGATCAAACACAAACAGGAGTGTGTGACACGAGTGGGTTTAGTGTGTTTAGTTCTGCCCTGTCACCACCGGGTTCACAGTTTTAAAAGTGCGTCTGGTTCTGTGGCCTGAGCCGCTGTTTGGGTCGGTCCAGGATCTGGATCTCGAGACCCGGACGTGGATCTGGACGAGGATCTGGACGAGGATCTGGACGAGGATCTGGACGAGGATCTGGACCCGGGTCCAGGAGAAGCGGATGTTTTGTAACAAACTTTTTGCTGAGACTTAAATTTCACTTCTCATTTTAAAAAACGGTCACAAAACGAGATTATGAAACAGACCAGGACTAAACCAGGACTAAACCGGGACTAAACCGGGACTAAACCAGGACTAAACCAGGACTAAACCAGGACTAAACCGGGACTAAACCGGGACTAAACGGGACTAAACCGGGACTAAAACCAGGACTAAACCAGGTCTAAAGGACTAAAACCGGGACTAAACCAGACTAAACCAGGACTAAACCGGGACTAAACCGGGACTAAACCGGGACTAAACCAGGACTAAACCGGGACTAAACCGGGACTAAACCGGGACTAAACCAGGACTAAACCGGGACTAAACCGGGACTAAACCGGGACTAAACCGGGACTAAACCAGGACTAAACCAGGTCTAAACCGGGACTAAACCAGGTCTAAACCGGGACTAAACCAGGTCTAAACCAGGACTAAACCAGGACTCAACCGGGACTGGACCAGGACTAAACCAGGACTAAACCAGGTCTAAACCAGGTCTAAACCGGGACTAAACCAGGTCTAAACCAGGACTAAACCGGGACTAAACCAGGTCTAAACCGGGACTAAACCAGGTCTAAACCAGGACTAAACCGGGACTAAACCAGGTCTAAACCGGGACTAAACCAGGTCTAAACCGGGACTAAACCAGGTCTAAACCAGGACTAAACCGGGACTAAACCAGGTCTAAACCGGGACTAAACCAGGTCTAAACCAGGTCTAAACCAGGACTAAACCAGGACTAAACCGGGTCTAAACCGGGTCTAAACCGGGTCTAAACCGGGACTAAACCAGGTCTAAACCAGGTCTAAACCGGGACTAAACCAGGACCAAACCGAAACTCACCACTTGGGCGAGTTTGAGGAAGAACCTGCTGAGGTCCAGGAGGTCGTTTGGAACCAGGAAACATTTGTCTTTTGGATTCGGCGCCGTCGTCGGGGCGTAGACGGTGTCGGCCATTTTGACTCTGTCACAATAAGAGTCCTACTCCAGCACCCTGTCAAAATAAAAGAGCAGAACGTCACCGCAGAGGCCTCCAGAACCGGACCAAGACCCGGACCAAGACCCAGAACCAGACCAAGACCCGGACCAAGACCAAGACCAAGACCCCAGACCAAGACCAAGACCCCAGACCAAGACCAAGACCCGGACCCCAGACCAAGACCAGGATCCGGACCAGACCTAGAACCAGACCAAGACTCGGACCAAGACCAAGACCTGAACCCAGACCTGGACCCCAGACCAAGACCCAGACTAAGACCCAGACCCAGAGTTAGACCCCAGATCTAGACCCAGACCCGGACCTGGACCCAGACGAGTGTGAGACACTTGGGCTGTGCAAAAATATCAAAATATCGATATATCGTAAGGTTTAATGTGATGATTCAGTATCGATATCGTGGGCTGCTGTATCAATATCGACAAGAGGATTGTTTTGGTTTATTTATTAAATTCTTTTGACATTTTCTGTTTAAATGTTTGTTTCATTTGAACTTTACACAAAACGAGATTTAACCAAAACTTTTAGTGTCACATGATTTAGAATTTTATTTATATTGAACCGTATCGAATCGATTTGAAATATATCGAATCAAACAGAAAGGGCACTGTATCGAAATATGTATTATATGGTGGCAGGTATCGTATCGGCAACTTCTGAACGATACCAGACACAGTACAGACGCGTGAGGTACAGACGCGTGAGGTACAGACGCGTGAGGTACGCGTGAGGTACAGACGCGTGAGGTACAGACGCGTGACCCGTTACACGGACGCAGTGGACCGGGCGCGTGGGACGCACATGCGCACTGATGATGCTGAAGTTTGGGCTGAGACCAAAATGTGAAACCGCAGCGAGAACAGTGAAAAAACACGAGTTAAACCGGGACAAACCGGGTAAAAGCGGGATAGAACTCACGAACAAACTCCGAACTGACCCAGAACCAAAACCAGAACCAAAACCAGATCCAAAACCGGGACCAAAGCGAAACTTAACGCGTGGAACATCACTGAACGTGGCACCGTTTAAACTCCACTGCGGCTTTAAAAGAACTGAACTAAAGACTAAACCAGGACTAAACCAGGACTAAACCAGGTCTAGTCCAGGTCTGGTCCAGGTCTAGTCCAGGTCTGGTCCAGGTCTGGTCCGGTCCTGGGTCGTGCTCCGGGGCTCCGCCTTGGTCCCGGGGCGCGGCGTCTCCCGGAGCCGCGTCTCTGTGTCTCTGTTCGGGCTGGACTCACCTGGTCCGGTCGGTGTGGCTCGGTTCGGCTCGGTTCGTGTCCGGTGGGGTCTGTGCACTTTTGTCCGTGTTTATCGTGTTTCTGCGCTCAAACTTCCGCGTCCGCTTCACTTTGCGTAAAACTGTGCGCAAAACCGCAGAGAGCTACTTCCGCCGGGCCCTTCACGATAAAAGCACAAAAGAACAGTTTTATTTTGAAAAGTAGATTAACTGGACTCCGCTTTGGGGAGTTTCCTGTTTAACAAAAAAAAAAAAAAAAAAAAACACAGACGCGTCAAAATGAAAAGATTTAAACTCTGCGCCGTGTTTTTTCTTTTTCTCTCGTCCATCCATCCATTTTCTTCCGTTTATCCGGGCTCGGGTCTCGGGGGCAGCAGCCTAAACAGAGACTCCCAGACGTCCTTCACCCCAGACACTTCCTCCAGCTCCTCCAGTGTGTCCTGGCTCTTCCCCGGGGCCTCCTCCCTCTCTCGTTATTGAGTTTTATTTTCAAGAACCAGAGCAGAGTTTTGATTTCGTGTTTTATTTCACATATTTTGTGTTTTATTTAAACATTTTTTGAGTTAAATCCTGCGCTGTTTGATTTTAGTTCAGTTCCTGCATCTGACCAACAGAGGGAGACACTCACCTGTAAAACCAATGAGTACTACACAGTACTACAGTACTACACAGTACTACAGTACTACACAGTACTACAGTACTTCACAGTACTACAGTACTACACAGTACTACAGTACTACAGTACTACAGTACTACAGTACTACAGTATTACAGTACTACAGTATTACTACAGTACTACAGTACTACAGTACTACAGTATTACAGTACTTACAGTACAGTTACACAGTAGTACTACACAGTACTACAGTACTACAGTACTACTACAGTACTACAGTACTACAGTACAGTACTACAGTACTACAGTACTACAGTACTACAGTACTACACAGTACTACAGTACTACACAGTACTACAGTACTACACAGTATTACAGTACTACAGTTTACAGTACTACAGTATTACAGTACTACAGTATTACAGTACTACTACAGTACTACAGTACTACACAGTACTACAGTACTACACAGTATTACAGTACTACAGTATTACAGTATTACAGTACTACACAGTACTACAGTATTACAGTACTACAGTACTACAGTACTACAGTATTACAGTACTACAGTATTACAGTATTACAGTACTACAGTACTACAGTATTACAGTACTACAGTATTACAGTACTACAGTACTACAGTACTACAGTACTACAGTACAGTACTACAGTAGTACTACAGTACTACAGTACTACAGTACTACAGTACTACACAGTACTACAGTACTACACAGTATTACAGTACTACAGTATTACAGTATTACAGTACTACAGTACTACAGTACTACAGTACTACAGTACTACACAGTATTACAGTACTACAGTATTACAGTATTACAGTACTACAGTACTACAGTACTACACAGTACTACAGTACTACAGTACTACAGTACTACACAGTATACTACAGACTACAGTATTACAGTACAGTACTACAGTATTACAGTACTACAGTACTACACAGTACTACAGTACTACACAGTATACTACACAGTTACAGTATTACAGTACTACTACAGTACTACAGTACTACTACAGTACTACAGTACTACAGTACTACAGTACTACTACAGTACAGTACTACAGTACTACAGTACAGTATTACAGTATTACAGTACTACAGTACTACAGTATTACAGTACTACAGTATTACAGTATTACAGTACTACAGTATTACAGTATTACAGTACTACAGTATTACAGTATTACAGTACTACAGTACTACTACAGTATTACAGTATTACAGTATTACAGTATTACAGTATTACAGTACTACAGTATTACAGTACTACAGTACTACAGTACTACAGTACTACAGTACTACAGTATTACAGTATTACAGTACTACAGTACTACAGTACTACAGTATTACAGTATTACAGTACTACAGTATTACAGTATTACAGTACAGTATTACTACAGTATACAGTACAGTACAGTACTACAGTACTACAGTACTACAGTATTACAGTATTACAGTACTACAGTACTACAGTACTACAGTACTACAGTACTACAGTACTACAGTATTACAGTACTACAGTATTACAGTATTACAGTACTACAGTACTACAGTACTACAGTATTACAGTACTACAGTACTACAGTACTA